TCCAGCTGCATGGTTTCTACGTAGGAATTTTCTTTGAGTGTGAATCCATTATATTGGTGCAGCCCTTTCTCCTAATGAGGCCTCTCTAACATGCACAGGAGTCTTACCTTCCCTGAAGACCCTGAGGGGCAATGTTCCAGGCAAGGTCATCATCACTGTCATATCTTCGAGGGTTGTCAAAGAAATAAGATCTGGGACTGAATCCATGGCTGGGAACCATTCCAGGGTTGGTCTAGAAAGATAGGTAACCATTCAGCATAGTTCCAGACACGGTACCTTGCACTAGACTTAGATAAGTAAGATCTCTTTCTTGCCAGACATACTGGCTCATGCCTACAAATCCCAGTCACTCAGGAGGCAGAGAGGCAGGGATTGTTTGCTTGGGGCCAGGAGTTCGAGACCAGCCTGGGCAAGTTAATGAGAGCCCGTTTCTAAAATAAAAAATGAGGCAGGTGTGGTGACACACACTACCCCTGTAGTCCCAGCTATTTAGGATGCTGGAGCAGAAAGATCACATAACCCTAAGAGTTCGTGGCTACAGTGAGCTATGTTTGTGCTCCTGCAACTCCAGCCTGAGAAACGGAGCAAGGTCTCGTCTCTTTCAAAATAATAGCTGGGCATGGTGGCTCACACCTGGAATCCTAGCACTCTGGGAGGCCCAGGTAGGTGGATTACTTGACCTAAAGACTTCTAGACCAGGGCCACACCTGTGGCTCAGTGAGTAGGGCGCCGGCCCCATATACCAAGGGTGGCAGGTTCAAACCCGGCCCCAGCCAAATTGCAACAAAAAAATACCCAGGGGTTGTGGCAGGTGCCTATTGTAGTCCCACCTACTCGGAAGGCTGAGGCAGGAGAATAGCCTAAGCCCAAGAGCTGGAGGTTGCTGTGAGCTGTGATGCTACAGCACTCTACTGATAGTGACAAAGTGAGACCCTATCTCTACTGAAAAATAGGAAAAACAGCTAGGCATCATGGTGGGCCCTTTAGTCCCAGCTACTCAGGAGGCTGAGGCAAGAGGATCACTTGAGCCCAAGAGTTTGAGGTTGCTG